GATGATACAAGCAGATTTACAAATAATTAATAAAAAACTGATGGATTTACGATGCAAATAATTATTAAATAATTTTGATGGAAGCATTCTAAAATTCAATTAATTAAGAAATATACCTAATTATTTAATGTTAATTAGCAATATTAATACATTTTATACATTAAGTAAAAGTTTTAAACATTTGCTCGATTTTGGCTCTTAATTTTAAAATTTATGGAGGTCCGTATAGGCAACTCCCAGAATTTGTATTTCAGCAGTTAAAACGGTTGCATATACTGAAACCTATTTAAAAATATTTTTCTTAATTATAAAGCTGTTTTTTATTAAGAATGATTTAACTTTTGTTTGATAAATATAATTAATTAAGGGAATTTATTTAAAATCTAATTTTCCATTGCGCCCAAAACAACCACGATTGTTTTGTGTACTATTTCGAATAAATATCAGACTTAAAACACGAAAAAGCGAGCTTAATTTTTCAGTGCTTTTCTTACCGAACTTATGAGTAGGTATTTGAAACTTAAAATTATGTAGAAAAGTACGTATAATTAAATGGTACAAGATTGATTTATAAGCCAAATAATAAAATATTGTTTTGAATACATATCAAGCTTACAACATGAAAAAGCGCCCCTAAACTTTAAGAGCATTTCTTATAAACCCCATGGGTTTTGATAATGTGTAAGCCATATAGAAAAGTACGTACAAATTAATTATATAAGTAGATTTATAAACAATTCATAAAAAAATTAATAGTTTACAATCTAAATTACTATTAATGAATTTCGGTGGTTTTTCGAAAATTCAACAACTTTTGCAAGAAATATACTTAACCATTTGTTGTTGTCACCTCTCGTTGTTTAGTGGTCAGAACATTGGTGCGTAAAGCCAAAGGTCCCGGGTACGATTCCCGGCGGGGGTGTGACAACAGCAACAATTTTTCCCTCATTAATTTGAGGTAGCGTGTAGTGGGTAAAAAATTCAGAAATGAATTTTCAGAATAATATTTCATATTAAACTAACTCACTTCTAAAAGATATCTAAATTATATGTATGTTTAATCATAGTATATTCAGTATATAGTTACATTAGTTCGACGGATCGT